GACATGACTTTTTCTCAAACTGGATTCTACATTCTCGTCTTTCGCGAGCAATATCTCCGTCGTTTTATCTTTGTTTACGCTGAGCTTTGAGTATGTTGTAGCTGAGAAAAAAAGCTATCACAAGTGTGCCCTTTATTTTTCGATCAGATGCCGGGATCATGCTCATATTTCACTTACAAAGTGGGATTTGATAATTCCATTTTCCGTTTACGTGTAATCTCTATGGGAAATGTTTTGGTATATCGGTAACGCACTTGACTTCCGACCTCGAGGTCCCTGGTTCGAGTCCGGGCGTCTCCAACAATTTTTTTTTCTTCACTTTTTTTTCTTTTTGACCTTTCACTCTACCATCTCCTTTGAATATTAAAACACGTACAATCGCAAATAATGTAATAAAAAACCATATTTACTTTATTATTACCCTATTATCACTAGATCCATTACTTTTGGCGTGTAATCCTTATGGGAGATGACTTTTTCTCAAATCTGGATTCTACATTCTTGTCTTTTGCGAGCAATATCGCCGTTATTTCGGCTTGGTTTTTGTTGATTTTTTAGTATGTTGTAGCTGAGACTATACGCTATCTAAATGTTCTCTAATTTTGTTCAGTCTGATGTCATCGTGGTCTGTTGATGATAATCATCAACATCATCATGATCATCATGATCATCATCATCGTCATCACCATTACTATCATGATCATCATCATCATGATCATCATGATGATCATCATTGTTTACATGTCTATATAACTTCTCCCTTTCTCAATATAGTAAATATTATAATCTCTCATAAGACTTGAAGACAGACCACCTAATTCGTCCCCATGACGAATTAAATTTCTAGTTCTTCCTCGAATTTGTTCGCAGGATATCTCAAGACTGAATGAAGCCAATGTTATGAATCTTTCAATGATGATAGATCTTAGTCTAACTTAGAACTGCGTGATTTTTCAAGAACTCAAAGTCATCGTGACGTCATCCAAGCGCCATTTTGTAAAAATCAACTTATGATCATATCTTCATAACGGAAAGTAATTTTACATTCATATTTATCAAGATTAAGATCAATATCCGTCGGGTCAATTTAAGGTCAATAAATGCGTGCAAAAATGTTCAAAATCGTCTTAAAAAATTTTTGCATACGTTTCAGGCCATTATAAGCATTTAATTAAAAATCACGCAAAACACGCATTTTTGCACGTTTTCGTTCGTCACGGCCGAACGAAAAATAATTTCTCCGCAAAAGCTTTTGCCCGAATATTCCTCATATTTTTCCGGAAAATTTAATACCATGTTTAGCTCTTTATCACTATTAAAAACGGAATGAGCGTCCGTTCAAGATAACCGTCCGTACGCGCGATTTTTGTAATACATTGCATATATGGGCAAAAACATGCCTATAAAAAGTCCATTGGGATGAATTGCCAATTTTTTTTCATATTTAGATAGAGTATGAGTCGGAGGTATGATTTCATATCTCATTTGGCCATTAAGTACATCTTAACGTCATCATAATGGCCTTGGAAGTCAAAATACAAAAATGCATATTATGACGTCATTATATTTATGGAAAAATTTGTGTATTTCTCTCAATATTCATCAATTTTCTTCTACATTCTAATATCTCGTAGTCGAGGCAATTGTCTACAAGATCAATACACATTAATTTTCATTTTAATGACGTCATCATAGTACAAACTTCGACTAAAGGCCACATGTCAGAATTTTCTTAATTTGCGTGTTATGTCAATGGAAGGTGAATTTTGTTCACATCATGAATCTACACCCACAACAAAAAGTGAGTCACCCTTACTCAAATTGATGAGTCACTGGTTTGTCCGTACAGTGAAACACTTGAAGGATCGTGTGAGTCACTATGACTCGATACAAATGAGTCTTAGATAAATAAGACTCATTTGTATCGAGTCATAGTGACTCACACGATCCTTCAAGTGTTTCGCTGTACGGACAAACCAGTGACTCATCAATTTGAGTAAGGGTGACTCACTTTTTGTTGTGGGTGCATCATGACATAGACCCCCCTACTCCCTAGGCCTATCACACACATACCATACCATGCCAGAGTCACTGTCCACATTTGCAATGGAAAATATATCCTAAAATATCACATTTTAGCGATGTAATCGGTGGTCCCGCTACCCGAATCTGAAAAATCTACTTTGTACGCACTAAATTAAGCCTTAACTTGAGATTTATTTGTCACCCATACTGTCACGAAACAATCTTGAATTGATTCGTTTTACATCAAATAACAAGGATCTAGGAGTTTCGTTGTATAAAACAATGATGCAAGATCATGCATGTTTTCATTCGACACGGCTTCGTGCGATACAGTAGAATCTATACACTATGAACATGACTGACAATGAGAGCGGACAAAATATACAGTTCCTCAGGTAGACAAAGGAACATCCCTTCACAGCTACTATGTAAAAAGGTGAATATGCATGTGACACCTGTTCTACACATTTTTACATAATAGCAATGAAGGGATGTTCCTTTGTCTACCTGAGGAACTGTATATTTTGTCCGCGCTCATTGTCAGTCATTTTCATAGTGATAGTTAAGTTACACACAGCCTCATCAACTCGAGTGCGGATATCGTAAAATGAACGCATGCATCATTTGTATAATAAGCCCACGAATCCAGTCATAAAAAGCATCGTTTAAAACCATATGAATAATTATGCGTACCAATTTTTCACTAGCTGCAGTCAAAACTCTTCTGAATCCAAGATATAAGATGGCGACGTCGCGTCGTCAATCGGGAATTCAAATATGGCTCGAGAATGCGCATTTTGGATGACGTAACGAAAGCATGCGCGCATGCATACAGCCTCACTTTCAAGTTGACTCACTTTTTTCTTCTAAAATGCTCTTATGTCGATCTTGACTCATTTTTTACGACCATGTGAGTCAGTCGAAGCATTTTGCAAATGCGTCAGCTCATGATTGACACACTGGTGAAATATAAATGAGTCAATAGAGACTCATTGGTTGTTACTAATGAGTCAATTTACACCTGACTCACGAAAATTATGCTTAAATGTGTCAAATGACTCACTTTTTGTTGTGGGTGTACATGACGTTCATCTTTGAGCACTATCTACCTTATTTGTACTCTGTTTTCTACCAAATTTCGGTATGTTATAGCTGAGACCATGGGCTATAAAAACGGTGCTTTTTAGTTTTTTGATCAGATGATGAGATCATGTCACAATTTTCAGTTGAATGTTGAAATGATGAATATGTCACGTATGTCCTATTTTTGAAACTTAAACGTTAGCAGTGTCCTCGTATTCAAATTATGTAAGGAAACCCTTTTACTTTCTAGACTTTACTGTCAGACACTATTGAGTGACTGACTGACATCTTTTTTTCTCTGGTAATAAAATACATAAAATGAGCGTTAAAGAGAACATGAGCATTCGGCTACATTAATAACCCACTCTGTTCTCATTGTTCATTTCCTATTCAAGACTTGAATAATGACGAACTTCATTCAATATTTGGTAGTAAAACTACATATACTTATACTGATATCAATGATTTAAACTATTTATCCGGAAAAGAATATGAGTTTCATTTCAGTAGGTTTCTGAACTGTAAATATTATATTGATGAGGATTTTACGACTGAATTCAGTAACATTAACTATCATATAGTCAGTCACTCACTGTATGGGTTTTTCTAAACCTTGTTTTGTAACCCAAGACATGTATATATTTTTATATTGTCTGAATAAAATAAAATCAAATCAAATCATTTTAGTATTTTACATTTTAATTCGCGTAGTTTAAACATACATTGTAATGCTTTATCCAATTTCATCTGTACTTATGTATGGAAACTTGGGTTAATGATAGTACGCCACTATTATTCAATGTGTCTGGTCGTTCATTCATACATTTTAATCGCCAAGTAGGAAAGAGTGGAGGTGTTGGTCTATTGGTCTCTGACAATTTTGAATATGAAATACGCAATGATATATTTATATTATGCCCATCATACAATTATGAATCACTGTTTATTGAAAGCAATTTGTCTGGTCATTCTTTCATACATTTTAATCGCCAAGTAGGAAAGAGTGGAGGTGTTGGTCTATTGGTCTCTGACAATTTTGAATATGAAATACGCAATGATATATTTATATTATGCCCATCATACATTATGAATCACTGTTTATTGCAAGCAATTTGCCGAGACATAAGAATATTATTGTAGGTGTCATACATAGGAAACCCCAATCAAATATCAATGATTTCATCCCTGTCTTTGAAAATATTTTACAGAAAACTTATACTTAACATAAACAGGTTTATATAATGGGAGATTTTAACATTGATCCCGTGAAATTTACTGGCAATGCTGTATGTAATTTCTTGAGCGCAATACATTCAAATCTTTGTATTCCTTAATTGACAAGCCTTCGAGAAAGACTGACGGATCAATATCCCTCTAATCCACATTCCTTATACAGTGACAGTATATATGTACATCCGATATATTAAAGATTTTATTTTCAAGCAACTACTGAATCTCACGTCGACAACTCAAAATGATCGCTAATGTATTCTCACATTTATTTTGACTTTTCATTTACGCCGGGACATCGTGACGTCATACACTATTCATTTTTAATTATTCAGGTATAAGCTCTTATTTATCAATTACATTTTCATTTCTTTAAATAAGATAAAATCGTCAAAATGCGTTCTTCATGATGCAAATTAGAGTCAAAGGTGTAACTGGTTACTGCACAGAGTCAATGGTCATATATTGTCTCAATCTATCTTCCCTAGATCCATAATGATCAAGGGATCGACACAATTTAAACTTGACATATGGATAGATCATTATGGGAGGAGCATTTTTATAAAATAATATGATATCGTGTAATGCATTCTTTGTTATGTAAACCAATATCATACCTATCACCTAATTCGTCTAAGTGACGAATTAAAGTCTAGTTATCGATTGATTTTGTTTTATTTTTAGTTTTATCCACAAAATTTTTGTAAAATAACCTTTTAGTCGAGTTTTATTACTATCAAAGCTCACCTTTAAGAACTTTTAGGAAAATTTCAGATCCGATGGGACTGGATTCAAACGGATTTTGATCTCGCGTTTCCGACTATTTGGATGTTGTAGAATCGACGCGTAGGAGTAGCTAACTCCCTCGTTACCGACGCCGGAGTTCTGGTGATCGCGAGAGGCAGTCTCCGTACAACACGACGCACTGCGGCTTCACGCGTATCGTCACTGCTGTGCTTCGCCGCCATCTTGCTTTTACCAATCGACGCACAGGAGTAGCCAACACCATCGCTACCGACGCCGGAGTTCTGGGGATCGCGAGAGGCAGTCTCCGTACAGCAAGACTTACTGCGGCTTCACGCGTATCGTCACTGCTGTGCTTCGCCGCCATCTTGCTTTTACCGTGACTTCGCTCTTTTTAATAGACTTTTAACACCTTTTTCCACTTTGGAATTTATTCGATGTGATTTTTAGTATGCATATTTTATGTGGACATTTTTCTCAGAACATCATCATATTTTTAGCGTGTACTGTAGGCTAGATAGATAGACTTTTTAGTCTGATTTTTAACTGATAATATTTAGCGCTGGCATTCATGTGTGTTATCCACACATTGCTCCGGTCCAAACGCTGAATTAATTATTACTACAGAAGTAGCCATTGTTCATCTTGATACCTGCCAAGATGTCTAGGCTTGGTGTTGGAGCTAGAGAAGCTAACCTCGGATTACAGCTTTGTCTCAACTTATTGGTTTGCATCACACTGACGGGAGCTGGACTTCGCCTGTCCCGAAGCCCCTTGAGGGACCAACATTACGGTAGGATCTTACCTTTTTATGATTCAACTTTTGATCCAATTGATGATCATCTTTCAAGTAAACACACGTATATGTCTCGGAGACTGGGAGTGAATTATCAGACATACTTTAACTTTGCTACCCAACTGTCTGTGACTCGAAATATCAGACATGTAATGCTTAAAGGTACTATGTCCCTTTTGCAGCCAACATCAAATTCTGTAGAACTTTGCAGGAATTATGAATATGTCATGTATGTCCTATCTGTGAAATTTAAACGTTAGCAGTGTCCTCATATTCAAATTATGCAAGGAAACCCGTTTACTTGCTAGACTTTACTGTCAGACACTATTGAGTGACTGACTGGCTTTTTTTTTCTTCTTTGGTAATAACATACATGAAAAGAGTTGTAAAGGGTACATGAGCATTTTTCTACATCAATAACCCACTTCTTGTGATGGCCAAGATTAAACTGATTGAATCTTTGCGCAGCATAAAACATATGACCATTCGGTACAATTGTCTGTAAATCAAGACTATTACTTTTGGGCTCTATAGCCCTAAAGTCGATTTGACAACTTATAGTCGTTATTTTCCCACTTAAAGACATTTTCAAGCCCCACCTTTTTTAGGGAAGTTCTAAATTAGTATTATCTTTCAAATGCAGTTGGAATTCAACTTTTTCATTTTTTGGGCCTGCAAATGGGACATATACCTTTAAGAAGAGGGGCTTGTATTTTGAGAGATCGTTTGATCTGCAGGATAATACACCATATAAATCCTCTAATTCTCAATTTATAACTCTAAAATCTGTTATTATTCTGAGTGGTGATGTTGAAATGCAGCCAGGTCCAACCGGGCCTCAGCCTCAAGCCGCTACAGCTTTTTCATGCTCTATGTGTAATGCGGAAGTAACTGACGATGATTGGGCTTTAGAATGTGACAAATGCAGTAAGTGGTCACACATAAACTGTAGTAATGTTTCTGAAGACGAGTATGAATCCTTCCTGAATCAATCATCTTTTACTTGGTGCTGCCCATGTTGCGAGTTTATGAACTTTAGTGACTCGCTATTCGGCTCTAATCAACAATTATCTGACGAAAATTCTTTTCAAGCCTTAAGAGAATTTAACTTATCACAGGATAGTGAATCTGATCTACAATCACCAGCGAGGAGATCCGGTAGTACAGGTGGTAGTAAACCTGCTGGGAAATCGCTTGGTGGAAAAAAAAATTCCACCATCCACCAAGAAAAGTAGGAGTAAATGTAAACTGGACCATAAATTAAAGTGCATCAGTCTAAATGCAAGGAGCCTTAAAGGGAAAGTTCCAGAATTCCATGCCATTATCAAGGAACATCAGCCGGACATTATCTGTGTCACGGAAACGCATATTGATGATTCCATATCTTCCTCTGAGTTATTTCCTAGTAACTTTATCGTTTATAGGAAAGATAGGAATTGCTCTGGTGGTGGAGTAGCTATCGTGGTTAAGGATAGTCTAGCTAGCTTACCTCGTCCTGATCTGGATACAGAGACTAAAATAATATGGACCCAGATACTATTGACATCAGGTAAAACATTTCTTGTGGGATGTTATTACCGTGTTCCTGACAGCCGAGTAGGAGACTGGAAGGACCTCGAGGAATCGTTGGATAAAATTCCTCAGGAGACTACAAGCATACCACATGTAGTTCTGACTGGAGACTCTAATGCAAAATCCATCAATTGGGGTGATGGTATGCAAACGGCAAATTCAAGTGAAATGCTTCTGCTAGATATTGCCAATAAACATTTTTTAACACAGCATGTGCTTGAACCCACGCGAACAACTGAGTCAACCGCCAATATACTGGATCTGCTGTTCTCTTCGATCCCAAGTAGCATTCAAGGAATCGAGGTTCATACTGGAATGAGCGACCATGATGTGGTTGTATGTTCTATCAAAACCAGACCAAAGCAGCTGCCTAAGCCTCGTCGCAAGATCTACTGCTACGGCAAAGCTGACTTCGGAAGAGTGCGCGATGGGATCACTAGATTTTCACAGGAGTATTTTATTAGTGAACCTGAATCAAGACCCGTCAATGAAAATTGGACTAAGTTAAAGAAAAGTCTTGAAGACTTGAAGGAGTCATTTGTTCCATCAAAGATGTCGTCAACGTGTGACACAATACCATGGATCAACACCAAGATCAAACGTCTCATTAAAGTTAGGAATCGTATCCATAAAAAGGCAAAACGGTCAGGCGATACTGCCCATTGGGAACAATTTAAGGAGGCTAGGAAAGCTGTAAAAAGGGAACTTAGGAAAGAACATCGTCATTTTGTACAGAACATTGTGGAAAATCTGCGTGAAAATCCTCGGGGTTTATGGAAATACATCAGAAGTAAGAGTATGGAGAATCAGGGTATACCGACACTCAGACACCAAGGAGTCCATTTCGTCTCTGACAATGACAAGGCGCTATCTCTAGCTGACTACTTTAAGTCGGTGTTTACACAGGAAAACCTGGACCAGATACCTTTCACTCCTACCAACTTGCCAACTGTAGAAGATGTCAACGTTACGGTAGAAGGGGTTCTGAAGTTGCTTAAGACAGTAAACATTAACAAAGCTACTGGTCCTGATGGAATATGTCCCAGGATGCTAAAGGAAACTGCAAATGAAATAGCACCAGTACTGCGCGACGTATTTCAACAATCCTTAAACAGTGGAGATCTACCTTAGGATTGGCTTTTAGCCAATATCACCGCGCTGTTCAAGAAAGGTGATAAAGCCCTACCATCGAATTATAGACCGGTATCCTTGACAGCGACATGCAGTAAACTTCTTGAGCATATGAAATTTAATGCTAAGAAATGCTTCGTCATGAATATGACCAACAAGAGGAAGAAGTTGAGTTTCCAATATACTCTTCATGCCCAAATCCTGGATCCAGTTCAACATCACCAATACCTTGGAGTCTTCCTAACCCACAAATACAAGTGGAATTTCCAGTATGCTCACATTACCAAGAAGGCTAACATGGTTCTCGGAATGTTAAGGCGTAATCTTAGAGGTTGTTCGAGAACCATCAAGAGCACTGCTTATCTTTCGCTAGTAAGACCTCATTTAGAATATGCAGCTAGTGTCTACGACCCCTATGAAACCAAATACATCAAGCAGCTGGAAATGGTCCAACGTCGTGCTGCAAGATTTGTCAACAACAACTACAACCAACGTGCTAGTGTCATGGACATGTTGAGGGATCTGAATTGGGACTCACTGGAACATCGGCGAGAAGTTGCAAGACTTGCCCTCATGAAACAGATCCAGAGCGGACAATCTGCCATCCCGAAGACCCTAACACCTCTTGCTGTTACTAGATCCCGTCGTTCCTCAGCAAGCAATAGCCATCATTTGAAACAGACGTACTGCAGGACAGACTTTTTCAAGTTCTCCTATTTCCCTCGTACGTGCAAGGACTGGAATAAGTTACCTGATAGCGTTATCAACACAGGATCAATTGATTCCTTTAGGTCCCATGCGCTACAATTCCTAAAAGATTGCTCTATTCCATGACCATGTGCTTCGTTTCCGTGTCTTTATATGGACTAACAAGTCTGTCGACACGTACAGAAGAAGAAGAAGAATCGAACTTATAAGCTCTGTTTTTTCAATGAACTCTGGTGTTATTTGGGTTTCCCTTTCGTACCTTGGACGAGATAGTAAACCATTTTCATATCTTTTTCACACACTTGCCGGTTGTGACGCTGGTTCCCCTTTGCTTTAGGAAAGAATGGTGCTGTCAGTATCGTCTTGAAATTTAGGCGAAGTCGTTTGTGAATATTACCAAGCTGCTGTCTGGGATATTCTCCCCAAACAAGATCACAAGGACGCCAACATCAATATCCCACAATGTCAATAGCCATGAAATGTGTGATTGTTGCAAGGCCAACGTTACATAATCCGAACATAATTTATATAGGCAATAACAAAAATAGAGTATTGAAAACGTCCTGTTGGGTGATTTCTTGAAAAATGGGAGCGTGTTCACAATAAACTGCTCTTCATAGTCTCTTTTAATGGTGTATAGTATGGATTAATTAACAACAGGTTTTGTTTTCTAGAAAGTACATACTATGAAATAATTTTAAACTCATAATTATACACAGTCGGTAAATCTGACGATTCGCCCATCGAAAACCCCCACCTCACCACCTCTGCTCGTTCTAACGTCTGCAGCGGCTCACTGCTGGTACACCATCTGCTTCAAGCAACTGGTAGAGAGAAAACTGTTTGAATTCGTCTTGAAAACCGAAATGACTCGCGTACCAAGATTCTTTGAGTGAGGGGGAGGGGGAGGATGGCACAGATATATAAGATAAAATGTTACAAACCCTTGGCCCCAAAACGCACACACACAAAAACTGCAGATTGCTGATTCGTTACCATGGTTACCGGATATTGGATATACATTTTAATGGAATTCAGTAATAAGACATTTGATAAACATATCATTGCGATCCAGCAATGAGACATTTCTATAAAAAGGCAACCAATTTTGGATAGAATTACCGATTGTATTCACATATTTCCTCTGCTACATTTGTGAAAGTCTAAGAGGGCACGTTTTTTTCCGCCCACATTACCTTAAAAGTCACGCTCTTGTTTGCAACAAACAAAATGCTCCTATGACTTGGTAATACTGGCACTGATTCGACGTATAGATGTCCGTAGTTCGTGTATATTTCCTTAAATTATTTTCCCTTGCATTCTTTGTTTCTTAACCGGTTTACGTCGTTCCATCATAAACTATCGTGTAACCCGACAACGAGAAGTACCCGATCTTTCGTGAGTATGGGGTATGTTTTCACGAAAGGTCGTGTAATACGACAATCCGATGGAACGAAATAAGCCCACCTGACCTGAGCTCATACATATATATATTTATAGATAATTGTCTTTGATAGTTTGTGTTTGTAAACAAAAAAAATCTTTCTTCTTCAATTTGTGAACACAAACGGTTACCGTTCGCCCCAATTCTTCTGACATTAGGTAACTAGTATTGGTCAACCAAAAGGAAAAAAATTACACAAATTAGAATTGAATTGGTATACTGACAGTCATCTTTGGGTGTGTCTAGGCAGTGACGACACTGGTGGTGGATGAAGGAGTGTGATACGCCATTAAACATTTTCTTCAAATTTGGATTTTACATAATATAGGTTGTCAACAAATCTCAAAAGTTTATGACTTTGTTATGCTTGGGCACAAGAAAACAATAAGGGACACATTTTATACTGTTGTTATTATTGAACGCCAGATTGGATTTTTTGAAGGGCACGAGCCCCCCCCCCCCCCCCCCCCCCCACACACACACCCAATCCCACCACCCCACCCAGGATCCGCTACTGCCTTAGACGACCTCCGAAGTACAGAAATAAACAAACATTTCTAGTACTTTTATAATTAGGATTAATTGCACCTCGTTATTTTTGAGACAGACAAATATCTTTCCAGTTGTCCGTCTCATTACATGTCATTATTCTTTTTTTCTCCATTTCTTGTATCCAAACAGTTGATTCTTCATTTTATCAGGATAGCAGTGTATACGAGCACCAACTTGCGCCCAAATACCCGTTTCCACCAACTAAAATGGAGAGAAGGAATGGAGCAAGCGTACCAAAGGTGTACCAATTGAAGATGTGTACTGGTGATTATCTTCGGATTGGGAATGATGGTATCGTCTCGAGCGTCGGGAGTAGATTCGATCTCAACAGTAAGTTAGCCTTTCATGTTTACACATAGGAAGAACAATTTTATGCTTGTATGTATCTATTCAAATAGGTGGACTCACTATACCGAATATATACACCCAATTCAAACTAAATTCAAACTAACATTCATTTTCCTCGCCGCTTAACAGTTTCTGTAGGATTGGGTCACCTATTTTGCCCCCTCCCTTGCCGCCGGCTGGATCCGCCCCTGCGACATATTGTACAAGTCTCTGGCTGGGTACGATATCATCCTCGCATGGTATTAAGCCATATTGCACCAGTCTCTGGGTTAGCTATATCCCTCGCATGGTACGCCATACTGCACCAGTCTCTGGGTGCGATATAACCATCGCATGGTACGCCATACTGCACCAGTCTCTGGGTAAGCTATCACCCTCGCATGGTACGCCATATTGCACCAGTCTCTGGGTTAGCTATCACCCTCGCATGATACACCATACTGCACCAGTCTCTGGGTTAGCTATCTCCCTCGCATGATACACCATACTGCACCAGTCTCTGGGTTAGCTATCTCCCTCGCATGGTACACCATACTGCACCAGTCTCTGGGTTAGCTATCACCCTCGCATGGTACGCCATACTGCACCAGTCTCTGGGTTAGCTATCACCCTCGCATGGTACACCATACTGCACCAGTCTCTGGGTTAGCTATCTCCCTCGCATGGTACGCCATACTGCACCAGTCTCTGGGTTAGCTATCTCCCTCGCATGGTACGCCATACTGCACCAGTCTCTGGGTTAGCTATCACCCTCGCATGGTACGCCATACTGCACCAGTCTCTGGGTTAGCTATCACCCTCGCATGGTACGCCATACTGCACCAGTCTCTGGGTTAGCTATCACCCTCGCATGGTACGCCATACTGCACAAGTCTCTGGGTTAGATATCACCCTCGCATGGTACGCCATACTGCACCAGTCTCTGGGTTAGCTATCACCCTCGCATGGTACGCCATACTGCACAAGTCTCTGGGTTAGATATCACCCTCGCATGGTACGCCATACTGCACCAGTCCCTGACGCAGTGTTGCGGCAAAAGATGTATTTCTTTTACTTTGTTCCTCCTGCCTTTGCACTTAATACATATCAAAGGGTTGCTTTTACAATATTAATAATAATATAAATGATAATATTCCGCTTTTAAATAGCTTCCAGTTATAAGCGCTTTAGAGATAAACTATTACCCCGGTCATTGGATTCAATACTTGCTCGCACACAGTGTGTGCACGATCTCCACTCCCTGGGGAGCATTCCAGTCAGGCCTTACTTGACGTTCAGAAACTGTTTGACCAACAATGATGATCACATCCTATCGGGTACACTCTAAAAACTGAAATTTTGAATCACCATTTAAAAGGGCCGAGGAGTGACCACTCTTTCAAAATGTCAGATTGATACTTTTAACATGCTGGATTCAACCTTTATAGTGCTGGATCCAGCATGTTCAAAGTGTTTTTAGAGTGTACCCATTTAACACCTGGATGGAGAACAGTGGCGTAATGAGCACAAAACTTGGAGGGGGGGGGGTCAGAACAAAATCCTTATCACCACCAAGTAGCATAATGCAGGGGCAGCGGAGCGTCTTCCCAAATAGGGAGGGGGCACCATCAAAAAAGAATAATTTTCTGGAAAAAAAGGGCACTTACAAATGGAAACATCAACAAAACCTGCAATATTTTTAAATATACATACCCCTACATCGTAATGATTGTGATTACACTACCGGGGATGATATCAATATTTGTTTCTTTCTTTACGTGGTACAAGATACTGCTTAATTAAGCAACATACTTTTCAGTTAGGTGTGATGGTCTGAATATTAATTTTCGAGCGGGCAAAGCGAGCGAGCAAAAAAATTAAGATTTGTGAGGTCCCATAAAAAAAAAAAAAAAAAAAAAACCCTGATGATTATTAAGCAGAATCTAATGAAGAAAGACTGAACATATCTGTTATAATTAGCATAATTATAACATCTATAAATGCGGCGAGCGAGCGAGCTCTAGGGAAAATTAAAGAAAAAAGGGGCTCTAGGTCGTCTAAATTAGGGGTGCCTGTTACGGAAAAAGGAAAAGTATACATTTATCAAAAGGGAAAAGGACAGTTATTAGAAAAGAAACGGTGCTCGTGTCAAAGTAAAAAAGGCAATTATCAGGTCCCCTCCCCCGGAGTGCCGCCTCTAGCATAATGGGCCAAAATGAGAGAAAAAACCTGGAAAATCATGTCATTTCAGCAACATTTGTAAAGTCACTATAGTATCGAATTAGAAATAAAACACGTTTGAATTTTATTTGGGGGATAACTGCCCCCTCCCCCAAGCCCCCCACCCAATCAGTACACCAATGGTGGATAGTAGCAAGTGCAGTTTAATATCTTACCAAAGGATATTACTGCCATGTCGGGAACGCATTTCTACAGAATTATTCTAGGGCACATTTTTGACGAGGTTTTGATTACCTTTCGATAAAAATATACATTTTAAACAAACGTAGGCCTATATTCAAATGCATATAATGTTATCCCTATTCACTCCAGAGTTTGTTTATAACTAAACTTTCATTTAAATTGTAAAATACCGTGTAGAAATTTATTTTATTAAAACTCTTTCACTTCTTTTATTTGTGTCTAATTTTTACAGCATATCTGTATTTTTATCAGTGCCTTGGACCTTCAGCTTTTCGAATCAAAGGGGTTAGAAGTCAACGATTCCTCTCGATGAATGACGCAGCAATGCTGATAGGAGTACCAGTAAGACAATTTTTAAGGCTTGTTCAAATATGGCACGGTAATTAAACTGCCTCAAAAAAGCAGCCCCGTTTTTTTTTTTTTTTTTTTGTTAACGTGTGACTAAATGGCAACTACGCGCAAGAAGGACTTGCGAGCATTCACTGAAACAGAAATGTTCAAAGGTACACTTTACATCAGCATAAAAAACCCGCCCAGATTTTTACGCGTCATATCTGAACAATCCTGGGGCCCGTTTCATAAAACTTTTTATCTATAACAAATGACGAATTTCTATGATAAATTTGCTCTCTGTCAATCAGATGCCTTGATTTCAGTAGCTTATAACAGTAGCTTGTAACTTGTTATTGATATCAAATTTTATAAACAGGGCCTTGATCTATTTTACATTTATAAATGTGAAATGAATTTGCCGGCGTTACATGTACGCCATGCATGGCACCGACTCGAAGCGACACCAAAATGACGAGTACTAATAATGTTTTGATGACTGTCGATTGGAGTTCTTAATATTACTATAGAGGGTCGATAACCCTTTTTGAAGATGTCACTCTCGCACGGTCGATGACGTAATCGTAGACTAGAAAAAGTCATGTTTTATAATTTTGTATCGACTTTTAAACCTTCGTAATTTGTCTTGCGCTTATATCTAATTTATAGGGAAGTCTGTGGAAATTGCGGTCGTAATCTGAAACTCATTAATATTCAACGAGGGAAAATGAAATTATAGCTCGGCAAATTACAAAACGACTTTTGATATTCAGTAGGCTTTAGTGTGGGAAGGAGGTGGATAAATTACAAATGATAACAGTTGGATTTTTTTGTTCTCTCTCTCTCTCTCTCCCTTTCTCCTTCTCCTTTTACTCCCCCACCCCCTCTTCATGTTGTGTCTCTCTCTGTCTCTGTTCCCAATCGTTCTCTTTGTAGGAATTCGCGAGTGATCCTAATTGTAGCGATTGGAAATCTGTTTGGTCCGAACGGCTAGCAACGTTTCCACTCCCTCCTCTTAACGGTATTACACTATTGACATACCACGTGACCTCTCCCGATGCCGGAAAACCGTGGTATATCGGTTTCAATAAGAACGGTCGTCCGATTGCCTGGAACCGACAAAATCGTGCCACAATGAGACAGATTTGTTTTATAAAAGAAGCACGATAACGTCACCCGTCGCATTAGCTAGCCCATCTTCAATCGACATTGGACCAGGTGATAGATTTCAGAAGAAACTATAATGACCAACTGGATATTTATTTTTGTATTGAATTAATACAAAATATACGGGAAATGTATGAATTGTGATAGTCACATTTGACCGTAATACTTGTTAATATTCTAAATGAGCTGGCATTTTTTTAATCTAACTTGCATCAAAGAGAGAATGCTCTTAGGGTAGGTATATGGATTGGAATATTTCAAATGTGCGACAGCCCTTTGGATGGCTATCATATTTTGTAAAGGAAAGTGTGATAAGTCCCGATAATTATGATATTTGTAATACGTGTTAGTGCCGTTTATATTTGCTTCCCTTTGGAAGGGCTTAATAAGCTCAATATTTTCTGCTACTAGTCAAACAACAAAAAATGGCAATCCTATTTCTAAAAACTGGAATAACATTTCGTCTGATGTCAGATGTACAAATACTTAACTGTAGTTTTGCAGTCAATTTCCTGGTTGAGTCTGTCAAATCTGAACCTAATTGAAACTAGTAAATCAGAAATATTGCAATATCTTGTTTTATTTTCAATTTATATATTGATTTAGATAACTAATGTTGTTTCGTGTTTCTTAGATGATCTAATTACGCTTATGTGATTATTGTAATCATCACAAGAATATATAGAGGTATATGCGAGGGTTCTAGGACATCTACCCCTGGACATCCACCCCGGATAACCACCCCCAGTCAACTACCCACTAGAACAACTACCCCCTAGGCAAACCTCCGTCTAGGACGACTACCACCCGGGACAACTACCCCCGGACAACTACCCCCCAGACAACTACCCCCTAGAACAACTCCCCCTAGGCCAACCACCCTCTAGGACGACTACCCCTGGACATCCACTCCCGGATAACCACCCCCAGTCAACTACCCCCTAGGCCAACCTCCCTCTAGGACGACTACCACCCGGGACAGCTACCCCCGGACAACTGCCCCCAGACAACTACCCCCTAGAACAACTACCCCCGGTCAACTGCCCCCGGACAACTACCCCATACGACAACCATCCTCTAGGACAACTACCCCCTCGACAAGTATCCTAGGGGGTAGTTGTATGAGGGTAGTTGTCCGGGGGTAATTGTCTCTTAGGGGGTAGTTGTCTGGGGGTAGTTGTCTTGGGGTAGTTATCCGGGGTAGTTATCCGAGCCATGGGTTCGTTGTTGTTATTTGGTTTCTAAATAACAAACTACACTATTTCCCTTTTTGTTGGAATGATAATGTCTTCTCATCTCTTTTCATGACATTTTAGTTACAATATTTTTTTTTCTTGATAGATAAGTTTTCTAGTCTTCTCAGAACTTTATTGATCAATCTATCAATTGACAGTCGTAGAGATTCAACAATAAAATTCTGAGAAGATATCAACCTTATCTATAAAAAATAAATCATATTGTCATAATTACCCCCCCCCCCGCCTTCTATAAAACGTAACTATAAGCGCAAATTTGTTCTGTTTTCTCTCAGTTATCGCATTATCATCATTATTATCATTGTTATCATTATCATTGTTAATCATTGCCATTATTATTATATCAAATGTTTCAGTTTCGTCGATCACATTAACTAATTAATTGCGATCATTTAATCAAAACTCTTGCTGACCAGGAATCTCAAACAGATACTAATTTCACATTTTTGGGTAAGATAGTAATGCTCTGACATCTATATGTGTATTACCATATCATTTTCACCTATATTTAAAGGTCATGATCTACTATCAGACTATCCTGACTGCAATATACAAGCATAATTATAGTTGGGTTATAACCATTTTTATTGGTTCTAGGTCTGTCTGGCAGGCTTTCATCAGAATATTGATATGAATATGAATTCTTTGTAGTGTGTTATCATTTACATTTTGTTTAATGTCATCATTCATTACTATTATATTGTGTACAAAACTGTACACGTTAAAAGAAATTGTTATATTTTGTATAATTATGTTGTATTGCTGAAATTTAATTCGATTAGTATATTGCTTAAGAAAATTAATCAATTCAATATGTGATTTATTAGCATATATTCGTCCCTATTTTCACGAAGTGACGGTAATGAGGAAAATCGTCACGCACATTTTATGCGATTTTCCTCAGTACCGTCACTTCGATTATGGGCATTGGCTATATGGGTGTGGAAATGATATGATTGTATGGTATGAGGGATGAGAATATACTGATATAACCCAGCATATTATAGTTGGATTTCAGCCATTTTGATCGGGTCTATTGGGGTTGAAGGTCGTTGTCCTTTCTATTGACTCACCAGATATTCAGACTTTATAATACAAAATAAAGTTGAAAATTTCCTTTGGATAAATTAGAACTTCATCTATATCATAAACCTAATCTGCAGTACCTATTTTTACTGCATTGAGCTTTTGATCCACGGAATCACCACAATTTTTGTCGAAATATGCCAAAACTTATTTTGTTCATTAAATGCCATTTCGAAACTGTAATCCGCTCAACTCATCTTCAATTTAAAAATGATTTGATAGATATAGTCTTATTATTTGAAATTGCTTGAAACAAATACATCACCGTGAAGGGGGAATATAATATTCACAGAGTGTATTCAATCTGTATGGCTACAGAATAAAGTTTAGGTTTACAAAAATATGTTTGTCCATTCGGCTTTTTTTCTAACAGAATTTGTTTCCCATTTGCAATTTAATTAATGGTTTAAGCCAGCATGGTCAGCCCGTGCAACTATCTGCGTCTGTTCTACGACGGATTTCGTGGAAGATCCTTGAGTCAGGCGCATGGGTCTAAACGTTATTTTGAAGGCACGCAGAGCACGCAATCGCCTGCAGGCGATTTCCCGACATTTCCAATAATCTCTGCGTGTAGCTGATGAACGTACGAGACACGTACAGACTTCTTTGCCAATCTCGCAAGGGCTTCTTGCGGGCTACTTGCGGTGGTCTACGGAGCCGCAAGACGGTAGTTGCAAGGCACCTGCACGGTGGTTATTGCGACTTCACCTCAAGGTTCATTGCACGTAAAGAGAGGTCGAGAAGGGAAAAGGCGCCAACGAAAGATCGTAAGAAAGACGTGCGAATTTTAGAATTTTAGAAGCTGGCCTATGGTATTTTATACACCCGACCACAGCTGCGGACACGCACGTGCAAAAACACGTAGGACGGGTTGAGACCACGATGGGTCTTCTTTGCTGGGTCAAGAGTGTACGGGCACATTATCGCTTGAGGGCTATAACGCCTCTTTGCCGCATATCGAACATCAATCTTCTAAAACTGAAACAGCTTATACAATGCGTCCCAGAAATAATGAAACAGAGAATTATCGATGTTTTATCATAATTTTTTAATCACATTTATCATTAATAAATTACACATAATTTGTAAAGCTTATAGATCCTCTTTTTTTCATATGATGCATATTTCACGCATGAGTGATTGAAAATAATTTGAAGAGAGGGTACCAACAAATCATTTGGTGGGCGGTATCTGAATTTCAAAGAGAAAATAGCATTTATAGAAAGTTCATTTTCTGCCCTTTTTTAATTATGACACCTCGATCAGGAGAAATGAGCCAGGAATAACAAAGATCTGTTTGTTTTGCTTGCATTTCCATATTTTGATCAAACGAATTCGTTTTCACTGGCTGCCTGCCGTAGCGACAAACAGAGTTGACAAAAGACTTAACTCCGTTTCGTCAACCTCAGCCATGCATCAAGTCTTAAAATATAAGGATGATGATGATGTTGATTATGATGATGATGATGACGATGATGATGATGATAATGATGATGATAATGATGATTGTATATGGACGAAATAATGCACAGGGAAAACTAACTATTTGACAAAGACTGAAAGGTTGACACACAAATATCACCTTTTTTGTTGTTAACTTTGGCTTTAAATGAGTAGAGGAAGCAACAGAATTTAAGTAATTCTGGGAGATAATTCCATAGATCTGGACCACGGTGTCTTATTGATATATGTACGATTAGTAATTTCTGTTTGACTAGATAAAAGTTAGAGGAACTACGGGTAGGATGACTGTATTGTGTTACTTTTAGTGAAAAAGTTTTGAAATGAACTTGGGAGCATATTATTTAAATATTTAAATGTGAATAGTAAACCTTGTAGTGGATTTATGTCGAATAATGTTAGGGTTTTTAATTTGTAAAATAAAGGACTTCTGTCGAAAAAAATATGGCGAACAAGAGCATACGCGAAGGGCATCTTTTGTAATAAATAAAATATAGTTGATTATGGATTTGGCGCTGGTGGCTAAATTACAATATGTTATAAGGGGTAATATCAATGAATTTGTCTCTTCCTTTCGAGAGGTACATTTTCTATGACATGATAATTTGCGTGCTATAAGTTCATGAAATTTCTTTTATTTGTATTCAAAGTGGCTCGGTGATATTGCCTCAGGTTCTGAAACAAGATTCAAGATTCAAGATTCAAGATTTTATTGTCCATAATATAATACAGAAATTTGTTTTCCATTGGTATAACATGTAATACATAATACATAAGACAAAAACATGGTGTCGTGTGCTGAGAGCCAGAAGGGCGTCAATACTCTATAAGAAAAGGTCTATGAGCAGGTACGGTCCTCCGGCTTTCAGCACAAAACATGACAAGACAGTTATATGACTTATACATAGCAAGAATTCTAAATACAATTCTGAATCACATCATGAATAAATTCAGGTATTGATATAGATTTGAGTATGAAAGTAGAATAGGAGCAGCATCACAATCGAAATACGAGCAGAAAGATAAAGGAAAAGAGAGCTCAAGCTCGAAGGACTGATAGAAGAGAGAAATATAGGGAAAGTTGGTAGGGGTCCACATGAAAATGGGAGAGACAGAGAAGGAGAGATGGCATAATTTCCAATCAGATTATAATGCATGACATAAAAATACAACAAAATCAGCAGCAGAGCTAAACAACGGATGTTTTGACCCACAAGGGTGATAAGGCGGAAAACTTTCCAACCCAATCCCTACAAGTTAATTTACTGGGTGGGTAGAAAAAAAGTTAACAAATAATCATAATCGCTATTACTTCGCTTAAAGCTGAGAATTTCGTGTTACTTGTGCATTATAAATGTGCATGGAATTTGGAATAAAAGAATTTCTGTATCTGGCTCTACGAGTAATTGGTACACGCAGGCGGATTCCTGAACGGTTAAAAGTAAAACAAGAAAATAGTGGATGTGATGGGTCTTTCATAATAGAAGTTATTTTAGTCAATAAGCGATCTTCAAACAAAACTGATAGGGGTGGTAATTCAACGCCGATAATACGTTGAGCAATTTTCCTAGGACGTTCGAGTTTAGTTTTGTCTGCTTGTGTGAGATTTCCATAAAAACAAATGAGATTGAATAGAAGAACACTTTGAATGATAGACTGATAGAAAAGATGCAAAATCGTCCTGTCAACTTTAAATTTGTTGAGCTTCCTTAGAAAAAACATCCGTTGATTAGCTCTACTGTGTACAGCGTTGGTGTTCTTATTAAATCGTAGCTTATCATCAATCAAGGTACCAAGATACGTATATTCATGTACGTGTTCGATTGCCTGTTCATGAATATACAAAGGGGTATGATTAACGTCACCACGTCGAAAGTCTATAATAATCTCTTTGGTTTTTTGAACATTCAAATATAGGTTGTGTCGATCGCACCATTCAACAAACTGATTAACTTGACAAAAATACTCATTCTCACTATTTCCTCCCTTAATGAAACTTGTGATGGCAGTGTCATCAGCATACTTAATAAATGAACAACATTGAGTGGTACTAGTGCAATCACTGGTA